GGTCTAGATAATTAATAATTTAGATAATATTTCAGGCCTAAAGAAAGACCTGCAATACATGTAGGCAGATTTAGCTCTTGCAAATGTATGTTTAATAAAATTATTTACATGTCTGTGTACATGTATGGGGAAAAGAAAATATACAATAAATACGACAATGTCACCAGGTACATGTAAGATTTAAGAACTAAATATAAACCTGCTAGCGTTCATGCAGAACGTACAGGTAAATGTACCTTTTACCCTCTGGCTATAATTAAACAACATATTCACACAGTGAGAAAACAGACCGGACGAATAATATAATACAAATATATACATGTACATGTACAATGTACATGTATATACAGGTAGATTTATACAGGTACAGGTAGATTTAGAGAGAACGAGAAGTGGGGTTTAACATCCCTTTGACACAACCTAGGTCATTTAGAGACTAGCATATGGTTCAATTTTATTACAATAATTTGCTTGCCTGTAGGGACGTCTTTAGCAGTGGGAGGAAACCGGAGGACCCGGAGAAAACACACAAAGTTGGATAGGTTTTCTTTGTCACGTAAAGAGAAGAATCAAAAGCATGCCACTTGACTCTACATGAACACATGTATGACTAACCTTATGATCCAACGGCCACGTATTAAACCATTACATGTACATGTAGAATTTCTAACTACATGTACAGTATAATACATCTTGTACATGTATACATATCTTTAAAAGAATATTGTGTAATTCCTTCTTTGATTGGCATTGAGTAATTGAACATAAATGTACATGTATTAACACAAGATACATATTTATAGATACACAATTAGTGAGTTTAATACTAAGCGACATTTCGACGAGGATACAAGAGGAAATGTCGGTTAGTATTTGTATCCTCATCGAAGCGTCGGTTAGTATTAAACTCAGTAATTGTGTATCCATAAAATTGTACCTTGTGTTATTGTGTAATATGTTTATTAAAGAATCAAATAAAGATATTTGAGATTCAGGTAGCTGTGTGTATAATAATATTAAGTCAAGTGTAACCAGTAATGACTAGTAATGAGATAAAAATGTCTATCAAATAGTAATGTACATGTACATGGTCGTATTTCCCAGGATAATGAGATTAGTATCTGTAACTTGATCAGAACAAGTTAATAATGTATATTATCAATTAAATGGTTTTAATGTATATAACCAGATTGTGTAACAAGTGGAGTATCAATAAACTAGATGTAGATGTATAACATAATTATGAGAGAAAGAGAGAGAGAGAGAGAGAGAGAGAGAGGAGGGCTGAATGTCCACTCGCCACAAACTAGGTCATTTCGGGACTAACACACGATTCAACTTTATTTCAATAATTCGCTTGCGCGTAGACGACCCTACTCCATGTCACATACATGTACAACCGGGGAATTGAAACCCCGCCAGTTGACTCAATGACAGATCGTTTGATACAGCGCGCAGGTGCTAAACATCCCCCACCCCACCCCCTTCCGACATACTTATGAAAAACAGCTACTAATTATTTGGACGACATTTCAAAGAGTTGTCTCTCAATGTCTGACATCAAATATAATTATCTGTTTTAGTGTTATATCCAGTTACTAAAAGCCTCTAAAAGATTAAAGTTAATCATCCATATTGTACTGTCGTTAAACATTTATTAGGACACTAGCTGGTCTATTTGATCATTCATATTGTACGGTCGTTAAACATTCATTAGAACATTAGCTTGTCTATTTAATCCTCAAAACATAAATTGATCAGACAATGTAATTACTGTCTGAGCCACACTATATTGTAATTAAACAGGTTATATCCAGGTACATGTACTGTGTCAGGTAAAAATTACCTGAAGAATACCTTTTAATTAGATCCCTTTTAAGACCTGCGATTGATTAATTAATTGATGTATTTAACCAGATTATCTGTATTGTCTGTCTGTCTTTTTTTGTCTGCGATATCCTTTCTGTGGAAGCTACATGTACATGTATTTCACACACCTTGTCTAAATTAAATTATCCCGTTGTACTTGGAGTTGAATGCAAGTTTCTATAGCGGTCATATCATCCACACTGTGCTGTATGTTTTAATGGGACATTTTTATATACATGTACAAGAACATTGTGTGTAAGCATTACCTTAAAAATAACATATGAATTAAGTCCCTTTTACAACCTGTCATTAATTAATTTATTTATTTTAGTAGATAATGTATATTGAGCAAATTAAATTATCCAGCTGTGTTTGTTTTGAGTTTAATGTTTGGGTGATATAACAGATATTGGGGCTGTAGATACATGTACATGTACACGTATTGTGCTGCAGTTCGTTAGTTCCTAGAGTTTTACGTCCACTTCAACCATAGGTGATATAGTAGACAGGTGTTTCCTAAGAAACTTACCAGAGGAAGCCATAGGAGATAGGCCTGATCCAGTTTGATTTGTATTAACAGGTAGTGAATGGGATCTAATTAGGATATATTTATACAGGTACAATGTAATTATTGCTATAAATATACATATAGGTTTTTTATTGTGCAGTCATTAAAACCTATATTTATAGCAACTATTACCTGTATAAATATATCCTAATTAAATCTCATTCACTACCTGTTAATGACATTAATTAATTGATACAGGACTTCATTTATACATGTATTTATTAATTAGTTTCCTGAATAAACAACAATTTTATTGATCACTGAATTACAACCAGATCGTTTAACTGTTGAATTAATTAATTCTTTGGTGTATATCTTGTTTTTGTTCAATTGTTTTACCTTTAATCTTTAGGCGGCATTTAGTGAAAGAGGAACACATTAAACATAACACAATTTTTATGATGTTTAGTCAACTTCAGGTCAATATACTAAAAACAATAAAGAATAGAAAACAAAACCAGTGATTGATTTCCTATAAAAATTGTGGTGTGTTAAATTATGTCATACATGTACATGTATAATAAATGCTGATAAATGAAATGTTTAAATATCAACATTAAACAAGGCCTAATATACATGTACCTTACAACAGTATAAATATAATTTAATATTATTATACTTTTTTGGGGGGGGGGGGCGGCTAGAACATGCGCATTGTATCATAAGGTCTGTCATTGATTCCCTGATCGGCTGTCCAACCTCATGGGTTTTCTCCAGGTACTACGGTTTCCTAATAACCCCTAAAGCGCAAGCAAATTATTGAAATAAAATTGGACCATATGTTAGTCCCGAAATGATCTAGTTTGTGTAGATTAGACTTTAAACCCTATCTCTCTCTCTACATGTATACCTGTAGAAATCTATGTAATCTTATTTCTTGTTTTTTATTGTAATGTAATGTATACTTTACCATACTCTTGTATTTAACATTCAACTGTGTAATAAAGCATTATCTAGCTCAGTTGGTGTAGAGAAACCGGATAAGATTATTACGTACATATAGCTCAGTTGGTACGAAGAAACAGGACAAGATTATTGTTTATCTACTGTTTTCTTGAGTAATAAATAATAAATGTTATCAAAAATCAATTATGTGTGAAGAATAGCATGTGTTACATTTACTTTTGTATTATGGTAATCCTACCTGTATCCTACCTGTCTGTATTATGTAAACAGGTAAACAGATATAAATACACTCATGACTGAACACCGAATACACAAAAGGAACAACATTGTAATGCAGAATAAAATTCAAATTACATGTAAATTAATAGGCTACAATATAATACCCGGATCTTGTGTGGGGTATTTTTTTGATTTTATATAATTTAACGGAGAAGGAAGAATATAAACGATAATTATCTTTCCTATAATTATAAAAACAATCAACAGGTACAGGTGTGTATTTTTATAAAATTTATAGATGCAGTTATCAACTAGGTTTTAAATATATATTTTTTTAAAATGTTCAAATCAAATATTATTTATTAGACCTCAGGCCTAAGAATATAATTTTAAATAACTCTTATATTTATGTAAATTTTATTTTATTTTATATGTATAGCAAATGTATTTGTTCTATCCTTGAGTGACGTTTAGAATTAGAGGTACGTGTATAAGATTTGTTTGTCAGGTTTCAATACTCATAAAGGTACATGAATCTTATCAACCGAGAAAAAGAGAGAGAGAGAGAAATGGGGTTTACCATCCACTCAACACAAAATAGGTCATTTCGGGACTAACATATGGTTCAATTTTATTTCAATAATTCGCTTGGACATAGTGGTCTTTAACAGTGGGAGGAAACCAGAGGACACAGAGAAACCCCACGAGGTTGGACAGGTGTATCTTATCAAGCAAACTGATAAAGATACAGGTACCTACTAGGTAGCTGTAAGAATATTGAATCATTGTCTGTAATATTAACCATGAAGTAGTAAATCCATAAGGTGGTGTTATTCATGTTTGTTACCATTATCACACTCCTGTCCCCTATTTACAAAGGTCTGACAGTAGCAATTTATGGGAAATTTTTTGAGAGAGAGAGAGAGGAGAGAGATGATGGGGTTTACCATCCACTCAACACAAACTAGGTCATTTCGGGACCAACATATGATTTTAATTTTATTTCAATAATTCGCTTGCGCGTAGGGGTCTTTAGCAGTGGGAGGAAACCGGAGGACCTGGAGAAAAACCATGAGGTTGGACAGGCCACCCTACTCCTTATCACGTACAACCAGGGATGGGAAATTTTGACACAAAAATGTTACAATTTTAAATCAAAAAAATGACAAATTGGATTAAAGAGCAGTATATTTTCAAATATTGATATAAATTATTGTCATATGAGTTGAAAAAAAATATTGAAATAATGGTTGATTTGGGTCCATGGAATAGTTGAGTTGTGTAAAGCATTAATTACCTCTATACAAGTCAAAGTTCAAACTCTGCCTAACTGTAAATCAGGACATCGGAGTTTGAGTCATCTTTCGTTGTCAACTAAGTTATCTTCAAGTTCAAGATAAAAACAAAAAAAATAGAAAAATAAAATATCAATATTTACCTTTCTTACCTTTTCTTCTTCGTTTTACTCTCAGACATATAGCCTTAGATTTTATACACTGAAAATAAATAAATTGAAATCACACAAAGTAATCCTTATTCTTGTCAAATATACTGTTAGATACAGGTAGCTATAGATTACTTCACTTGTTCAGGTAAGTTGAATGTCACCTACACACCTTGATTGAGCTGAACACCTTTACTTTACAACACACCTGAACTAATCAACTAAATATAGAATCACACAGGTAAAAATATCCACAATCATTAAAACCGGGAATAAAATCCACTCAAACAGTTAAAATCCACAATTTAAATTAATTTGGAGTCTTCAGGTTGTACGACTCGAGCTGATCCAGTCTCGACAACCACTGACTGCAACTCCTTTCATTTAGTCAACTATGCCAGTAATTCAACATGGCCGCTTTAACTGTATCTAGGTCAACTTTGAAGGCCCCCTGAGCCATTGACAAATGTAAACAAACCTGGCTTGTTTTTAACCACATGGGGAGAAGCTTAGCAGGTGCTATAGAGGTTGAATAACAGTTTCATATATATTTTTTTTTTTTAAACAATAAATATGTTTATATCACAACCACTGAAAGATTCGTTTGTTAATATTCCTACATCAATCAATTCTTTGTTATACCTTTATTAATTAATAAAAAATAAATTTTATCTTATTCAATTAAAAAAGAGAGAGAGAAATGGGGTTTAACATCCACTCGAGACAGACTAGGTCATTTCGGGACTAACATATGGTTTAATTTTATTTCAATAATTTACTTGCGCGTAGGGGCCTTTAGCAGTGGGAGGAAACCGGAGGACCCGGAGAAAACCCACGAGGTTGGACAGGTAACCCTACTCTTGTCATGTACAACCGGGGATTCGAAACCAGGCCAGTTGACTCAATGACAGTACTGGTTTTATGATACAGCGTGCATATGCTAACCATTTGGCCATCCAAACCCCCCATTTGGCCATCCAACGCCCATATTCAATTAAAAAATCCCAAACAAATATTCCATTAAATAAAATAACTGATTCGTTCTCATAAATCACCTACAAAATTTTAAAAATAAATTTATTAAATTATCGGTACCTAGATTTTAAAATTCAAACTGACAAATGTTTCATCAGGCTTTTGACATTTTGGTTGTTTTTTTTGTTTTTTTCTCGGCATGTTTTAAATGTTAAAGAGTAAAAATTTGCATGTTTTAGTTGAAGATTTAGATTGTTCAAAGAGTTTGTTTACATGGCGACGAGGTTGGGAAGAATTTGAATAATCATTACTCATTTAGTAACAATTCTACACCATGTTTTTCTTTGTATTTCAACAAACCATGTACTCATACTACACAGGTAGTGTCATACCTGCCCTTAATGTTAATTACTTCTTCGTTAAAGGGGCACTACCCGTCTTCATTATCCCAGTCTGTGCAGGTAAGTAGGATGTTAATTTCATATTAAAGGGGTAGAGAGGTTGGGAGGGGGGGGGGAGTGATAGAGGGTTTAACGTCCACTTGACACAAACTAGGTCATTTCGGGATTAACATATGGTTCAATTTTATTTCAATACTTTGCTTGCGCGTAGGGGTCTTTAGCAGTGGGAGGAAACCAGAGGACCAGGAGAAAACCCACAAGGTTGAAGAGAGAGAGAAATGGGGTTTAACGTCCAACCAACACAAACTAGGTCATTTTGGGATTAACATATGGTTCAATTTTATTTCAATACTTTACTTGCGCGTAGGGGTCTCTTTAGCAGTGGGAGGAAAAACCGGATGACCCGGATAAAACCCACAAGGTTGAAGAGAGAGAGAAATGGGGTTTAACGTCCACTCGACACAAACTAGGTCATTTTGGGATTAACATATGGTTCAATTTTATTTCAATACTTTGCTTGCGCGTAGGGGTCTTTAGCATTGGGAGGAAACCAGAGGACCAGGAGAAAACCCACAAGGTTGAAGAGAGAGAGAAATGGGGTTTAACGTCCACTCGACACAAACTAGGTCATTTTGGGATTAACATATGGTTCAATTTTATTTCAATACTTTGCATGCGCGTAGGGGTCTTTAGCAGTGGGAGGAAACCAGAGGACCAGGAGAAAACCTACGAGGTTGGACAGCAGACTCTACTCCTTCTCACTCCAAGGAATAGAAACCACGCCAGTTGACTCAATGACAGACCTTATGATACAACGAGCACGCACTAACAATTCAGCCATCCAACTCCCCTCATATCAAAGGGGGACTGATACTTTTAGTGAGATAATAATTGTACTATGTTCAAGAAAGAGAGAGAGAAATGGGGTCCTACATCCTCTCAGTTCAGACTAGGTCATTTTGAGACTAACACATCATATACTAATGTCCAAAAGAAAGTATACGCACTAAAAATATGACTAAGTTTTGTTTAAATCAACAAAATGTGATAAAACTACACTGAACATGTCTCGTGCGTCCAAACTCAATATTTCTAAGCAAATAAAAGGCAAAACAAATGGACATTGTACCCAAATACCGCATACAATGAAAAAATGACTTTGTTTGAATGCACAGTGTATACTTTCTTTTGGTCATTAGTATATAATTTTAATTCCGAGTTAAATTGTTATTTTATTGGTAAGAATATAACTTGATGCAAATAATCTAGCTGCATAAATTTTAAAAAATTTCCACAAACTCCCCATTAAACACAATCTGATTAAAACATAGATCATATTACGTTTTTAAAGTTCAAAATTTCGTTTTACTTGTATTTACAAAACTAGGATCTATCTGGAAAAGTTGTTATATAACCTGCGTTCTGGTTAATGTGAGGGACTAGCCAATGAAACATTCTGTTATGGCAACTTCTTGGCGTGCTGTGCACGCAACTGTGGGTATCCCATTAAAAATATTAGCACTGATTGGTTAATCAGAAATCGCTCGTATGACCCCTGATGCGACCTCCCACTACAACTGCTCAGATCTTGATGTTGTAGAAGGCATCAAAATTATAAAAAAACGAAACGAAATATAGATCTGTATTTTAATAAGATTGAGCATAAAAAGATATCAATAATTGGAGCTAGCCCTGAGAGTTGAAAGAAAGCAAGATATCAAAACATTTGGTGGTATCGCTACCCATACAATTTAGAAATTGCTTTAAACAAATTTCTCCAAACAGCCCTTTAAACTAACGAGTGATAACAGACAACCTGTGTAGAAAGTGTAGTTCAGTTTGACATGGATAATTACTAGCTGGCTCAGATTTTATTTTTTTTTACTGACAACAAAATGAAAACTATTATGTGACTAATGGTGGAAAGAGTTGTTGAACTGTTGAACTCCTCTCACCACACACAATCTGTTCTCGGCCTAAAAACAAGTACAAGCTTATGGAACAGAAACCAAGTCTGTCAATTGATGTGCAATTTCCAAGGAACATGCATGCCAAGTTTCATGTCGAACTGGTAGAGCCTTGGCCTTTTTTCAAAGAGCATCACCCCAAAAATGAAAATGAAAAAGAGGAGAGAGAGAGAGAGAGAGAGAAATGCGGTTTAACGTCCACTCGACACAAATTAGGTCATTTCGGGACTAACATATGGTTCAATTTTATTTCAAATCAATAATTCGCTATCACGTAGGGGTCTTTAGCAGTGTCAGGAAACCAGAGGACCCGGAGAAAACCCACGAGGTTGAACAGACGACCCTACCCCTTGTCACGTACAAACGGGGAATCGAAACCTGTGACTCAATGACAGCTTATGATACAGCGCACACGCGCTAACCATTCGGCCATCCCCCCCCCAGCGAATTAAAATGTACGGTAATAAGTACAAGTACAATAATAACAATCTATGAATCATCTGGTCAAAACTTCAAACAGTGATAAATTCGCTCAGAATAAAGTAATCTGAATGGATTTTTCAATATATTCATTTTGAATTATCTATTTTTGAACCAGTATAGCAAGAATGTTCAGCTCTTTATCTAAATCTTACATAATGTATCTTTAAAATGAATATTCCTTATATTCCTTCTCATTTTAAGAAATAAAATACCAACATCCTAAATTTGAGATAAGAGTAGGCAGTGGTGCCGCTGTCCGGGCAAATATTCCCTCATAGCACACTGTATGGCGTATGCCCGTCTTCATTAGCCCAGTCGGAGCAGAACAGTAGAACGTTAAATCCCATTTTATTTTGGACCAACTGTAATAAAATGGGATTTAACGTCCTACTGTTTAGCTCCGACTGAGCTAATGAAGACGGGCATACACCATACAGTGTGCTATGAGAGAAATTTTGCCCGGACAGCAGCACTACGGCCTACTCTTATATCGAATTCCAACTGTCAAGGGATCCTTTATGTGCATGCCAATGTGTACACGGGACCTTGTTTTTTTGTCCCATCCAAACGACTAGACAGCTGTCTTTGTCAGGCCCTCCCTTCTGCATCAGTGACAAGGGGGAATCACGCTGGAAAATCTGGAGGAACTTTCTCAGCCAATGCAGGGATCAAACACCCGACCTCCAGGCTAGCGAGCAACTGTAATAGTTAGAAAAGAGTAATCTTACCTTATGTATTTGAGCGATAACTTCAGCATGGGAACATTTTTCAACAGACATACCGTTAACTTCCACAATTTCATCTCCAACAGATAACTCCACTTTATCAGCTGGGGAACCTGAAACAATAATTATCTAGGGAATAACAAGTTGTCTCCCTTTAATTTAAACCAAAAATACAGGGGGAAATGAAATATGAAATACAATTTAACATGCTACTGTTCTGCTCAAACTGGGCTAATGAAGACGAGCATACGCCATATAGTTTGCTATGAGGAAAATTTTGCCCAGACAGTGGGCTTTGAATGATTCTTTTATGTGCATGCCAATGCGTACCCAGGACCTTAGTTTTTTTTCGTTCCATCCAAACAACCAGCTGCACCACTTACAAAGAAAGAGAGAAAGAGAAATGACATTTAACATCCACTCGACACAAACTAGGTAATTTCAGGACTAACACATAGTTCAATTTTATTTCAATAATTCGCTTGCACGTAGGGCTCTTGAGCAGTGGGAGGAAACCGGAGGACCCAGAGAAAACCCAAAAGGTTGGACAGGCGACCCTACTCCTTGTCACGTACAACCGGGGAATCAAAACCACGAAAGTTGATTCAATGACAGACCTTACGATACAGCGCGCATGCGCTAACCATTTGGCCGACCGAAGATGATCAAGATTATTATATTATTATAAATTTATTTATATAGCGCACACTTTCACAACAAGGAGTTGCCGTGCAAAATACGCCCACATTTTGCAAGAGATAGACAGAGACCGAGCTAAGTTTCGTCAAAATCAGATAAGAATTGTGATGTGTAGATTGTCCACAAAACCAATTGTGGAAGAACGGACAATGGA